AAAGCTTGCAAATGTTTCACATCTTGTTGCATCATGCCTCAATGCACTGTATCCTTTCTTCCGGTCACAAGTTTTGTATTCATCAATTTCAGGAAGTAGTCCTCGTCTTTTCGCCAGAGCAAAACGATGGACCACAGCAGCGTTGTTTACCTGTGCTATCAACAACCTTCCCAGCACACTTACGATAGGATTTTCAGAAGAGTTAGTGTAGTATAGGCTTTTCAGGGCTCGACTAAACTCGTCAACTCCACCTTTAAGCAAATTCCAAAACACGAGACCTGAAGGACGAATCATTCTCGCAGGCGGAAGTGGTCCAACTGTCGAGGCAAGCCGCTTGTAGGCAGTACAGAGATTGTAGAACGAGGCGTATGAGAAAAGATCAGTTGCATGAGTGTCATCTAGGAGCTCGTCGTAAGCGCTTGGAATCTTTTCTGCTGACCTCCCAATCCAGTTAAAGCAGAACAGGCGCACAGAACTGACAACATAGTCCTAAGAGGCGACAAGGATTGTTGAAAACTCCAGAATAGTGGCATAAATTATTTGACCAAAGCCCATGTTACTCCCTTTTGACATCACAAAAACAACTCCTGGCTTACCTAAAACTGCGGCATGATGCAAGCATTGAAGTCTATACGCCGTAGTGCGAACCAGGGCATGAAAAAGTGTAGTAGACGACCTGTTTTGCCCAGTGCCCGAAATCATACAGAGTTTTCCATGTTTGTCTCCGACTGCTTTTGCTGACGTTATCGTGTTGAGAGCTGTCATTGTTTTGACCTCGATTGCCGCAACATAAACATCTCCCTCACAATTTGAGATAGCAACGACGCCATCTGGGCTCCCAGCTAGCAACTCCACTCTGGAGGAACCCAAAAGACCTTCAGCACGTATATGTTGCACTTTGTGATGCACTGCAGGGGTCAAATCATACTGTGAGGCATTTTGAATATCATGTCTGTCGAAGAAATCTGGTAACGCCTTCAATACTTGCACCTCGTTTATGGACCCTTCTCACATTCCCGCTGTCGTGGCAAGGGGTTTCATGAACCAAGCTGTAAGCGACGATTCATATAGTTCCTTTTCGAGTTTTTCTGTCTCAATGTTCATAAATGCCGTGCTAGAGCTGGGTTCCGGCGCTTGCTCCTGTAGCTGAATAGATCTATTTTCGACACTGGCTCGTAGGTGAAGGATATTCTCAACAAGCTGCTGCTTCCGGAGACCAGCTGACTGCCTGTGGCCTACAGAAATTAATAAAGAAAGGAGATCCTCCTTTCTTAGCGCATTCAGTGACCAATGTGTAGCACCTCTTAAATCATATATGGCTTGGGCATTGTTCTGTACTACTTCTTTTTCTCGTCTCTCGGCATATTGATAGCATCAATTACACAATCCCACTTCATCCGAATATCCGCTGCTGCAGTTAATAAATTACTTGAAAGACTTTGCGCTCCTTGTACTAACGTCTTACCAGAAAGTACCTTGGCCATTATACGGATGTTCATGTCGTAGTTTGAAGTGACAGTACTCAGAAATGAGCTAGTTGTCCTTGATGTAAATTGAAATGCTCGAGACAAGAACCATCCAGGATCCTCGGACTGTTGTATGGTGAGATGTTTAACATTTTGTAAAGCACTTTCAATTTTTTTGTGGCAAGAAATGTGCAGACCTCGATCTGGTCGATTGCGGCTCGGATGCGTAGACCCTTTGAAATTGAATTATGTCTACTTCGCTGTATGCACCCCTGAAGCCACTCTTTGGTATCAACGTAAACGTATGGGATCCAAATCTATGCATATCATTATGATACATAGCTGCTATCCGTCCACTGTAGCTTTCGCGATATACAAAGGCTTCCACATTTTTCCCATTGGTACCAGAAGGTTTCCGCACAGCACGGTACACTGCCGTACACCCCTTCTCGCTCACGAACTTTCATTTGTGTCTCTTAGTAATGGGTCCGTTCCCGAAAACAAACGGGTAGTCTAAACTTCTCTTATGGGTGCCAATGCCGGTTGCACCGAGTCTCTCATTTATAAAAGAGATGGTTTCTTTCGAATTATAACCTGGATCAGCAGCAAACACTGCATCAGGCATAGGACGTAAACAACCAGGAGTAGCAGCTCCTTGAATCAACTAGGTTAACCTCTCCCAAATGTGAATAATCTTCTCACCTGGTCGTGAGTAATGGCTTGCAATAAATGCGGACGTTAAGGCGGAACAAACGGCATTATTAACTGGTCCGAGTGCCTTCTGAGGATTATTAACATGTGAGGGATTAGTCAAAGCGGTAACCGCCCCAGACCGCAAACGTTGGTGGTCATCATCCAATGAAAATATAGTGCTATCTGGTACGTACACAGGAGATCGATTAATAGATGCCAGTTCTTGTTCCATCTCGGTAATCAAAGCGTTACCACGTGTCCGCTTGTTGAACCAGCCTCCTTGAAACGTTTCAATGCGCTGGCGGCGATGCTTTGTACAGCTCATTGCCGACCATATCTCACTGTAGCGAGACCCTGACATTCCCGTGCTAAAAAAAAACCTTATTACGAGGATCCGTTATCGTCGAGACGTTGCTGTTGTACGAGGCCGCCAGCACATGCATTACAAGAACCTCCTTCAGCTCTAGACATGTAGCAAGAGCAGACTTTCGAAGTTTGAGGACTCTATTAATGTTCATTTTTTGCTTTTGCAGTAATGTCTCAAGCAAAAAAACGTCAAATACGTCCATGGGAGAGAGATTACTTGACGTAACTATCATACCACCATCGCAGATTAGCTGTACCTCTCTCACAAAATTATCCAATACACAGTTAGCCTCTCGCACGTATCTTCTCGCTAGTGACGAGTCTGCATCATCCACTCGTATTTTCACATCATCCCATGGACTGTCGTACTTCCAGTTAGGCAACCCGCCATTCTCCTGTACATATCGACGTTTTTGAACCAACTCCTAGTAACGCGCTACCATCCAGATTATCAATCTGCACATCAGCTGCAAAGCTTGGATCCTCTATGAGACATTGGGATGGATCCAAAAATGTTGAGGACAAAAACTCTTCAGTGGCAATTCTTCGAGATTCCATTGCGTTGGTAGTAATGTTTCAGTGGTTTTCATGAGATTTTGTAAAACGAGAACGAACTTCCCCATTCTCTATGCCCTTTTCTATGGATGACAGGGAGTCCTCAGATGAAAATTGGACGTGCCCAGAGGTATTCACCTCATCAAATTGCGAGCAGATGTATAATTCGTCTGATTCTGTATCGCTTGTTTCCGATAGCATTGAAGGATTTTCAATGCGGTCTTCTGTACCTAGTTCCATATCGGGCTCATTAAAGAGTCTTCGGCTGACCTCGTCATATGCATTTCTGTCGCTCCGCAACGTGCTTCTATCTCGATCCTCTCGTATTTGCTTGTCACGGCGTAGGTCCGTCTCAGCCACATCCTCATCAATATGAACTCTTGCTCCACTAGGGAGATCCTCCTCATCATTTAATGGAGTCCCCTCATGATCGGAAGTCCTAGGAGGCGTGGCTTTCCATACGCTTATTTCGCGAGGTTGCGACATTTCTCCAGTATTCAGGAGGGAAGCGTCTGATAGCGAGCCGGTAGAGGGCAACCAAGAAATAGAAGAGAAAAATGCGATTCTCAAGGGGGAGCATGCCAGAAGCAAGAAGATAGGCTTGTGGGCGGGGGTAGGGGCTCCGTACTGCGATCGTGCAGGGTGATGCGTGAAGTTCTGCATGCACTTCATGCACTGGCAGTGCGCATTCACGCACCCAGTGTGCACTGTACAAAAGCGTGGACAAATTGACGCACGGGGGGTGTGCATGCACGCACCGAGTGTGCACTGTACACAAATGTACGCAAATGTACACAAGTGTACACGAGTGCACATTGGCCGTGCGTGATCAAAAAAGTGCACCCAGCGTGCATGGGGATATATGCTCAGCAATCGCAGATGTGCGTGGGAGGTCTAATAGACCTCCCACGCACATCTGCCA